TCGACTAAGCTTGTCTGGTCTATTGATTGGACTTGTCTGATCCATAGACTAAGCTTGTCTGGTCTATTGATTGGACTTGTCTGATCCATAGACTAAGCTTGTCTGGTCCATTGATTGGACCTCTCTGATCCATAGACTAAGCTTGTCTGGTTCATTGATTGGACTTGTCTGATCCATAGATTAAGTTTGTCTGGTCCATTGATTGGACTTGTCTGATCCATAGACTAAACTTTTCTGGTCCATAAGCTAGACCTATCTGATCAGTAGTTTTGACCTGTCTGGTGTATGCACAATCACAGGTGATCCTACCACATGACTGTTGCTTTTCGAGTCGTAACTCTTCTGGCTGAGTCGCTCTTCGACCAAGAGCACGTGGAGAGCCAGCTCGTAGGAGCGTCGACTTGGACGTCCCTTCCCCTACCCTTGAGGCGTCAACTCACACGCTTCTGTCCCCTTCTCCGCGGTCGTATGCTATTTGGCCGACACACGTACTACTGTACCTATTGGAACAAAGTGTATACCAAGTAATGTATATAAGTAGCTGAGAGTGGGCAGAGGAGTTTAGTTTGGACATATCCGTCGGTCCCTTGGAAGTGGTACCCACGATCGACGTGTTTAGCCTGGATATCAATAATAAATCACCGGTGTCTTCCCGGGCCGTACCGCTCCAGGCGATATTTTCTTTCAACGGGAGGGGAACACGTATCCCGGCTGACAATTTTTTCCCCAGCAAAAGCGTGTCCTTTCGACGGACGTCCGAAAAAAAAAGGGGAACGAGGCCTCGGCTCGAGGGCAGCCTTTAAAGTTGTAACTCCGGTAACGTCGTATCTCATCCCATTCCGCGAACGCTTTTTAGATTATATTCAAGGATTCCGTTTCCGCGGAGGAAAATTATTTTCACGCCGGGGAAAATGAAGGTGAGAAGTTCGTGGCGGATCGTTTCATATACTGGGTGTTGAGAAAGTAAGAATTCGAGGGTGTTCAGAAATTAAAGGATCAGAGACTTGTGGAGTTTATACAAATTATTTTCTTCCTGGAGAAACTGGACCTGAGAATTTTTTGGTAGTTAAGTTCATGTACTAGGTGTCGAGAAAGTAAGAATTCGAGGGTGTTCAGAAATTAAGGGATCAGAAACTCGTGGAGTTTATACACAATATTTTCTCTCTGGAGCAACTGGACCTAAGAATTTTTTGGTTGGTTAGTTCATGTACTGGGTGTCGAAAAAGTAAGAATTTGAGGGTGTTCAGAAATTAAGGGATCAGAGACTTGTGGAGATTATAGAAATTATTTTCTTGCTATAGAACAAAGTTTTAGATCAAAACTACTGTAAGTGACATTATTTTATTAATCGACATCGTTTCTTCGAGGAATGTTTTGTCAGTTGTATGTTCAGGACAGTCAAGAACGTCATGCTTAGCGATAGTACTATTATCGCAAGCATCACAGCAAGGTGGATTATGTCTAATTACAAAATTGGAGTAGGTAAACTTAGTATGACCAATTTTTAATCTACTGATTACTGTTGCTTCTTCTCCACTAAGATTTAATTCTTCGTTATCAATTCTTTATTCTATTCTTCAATTAATTCTTCCTTTTTTTGTGAGCAGTAAACGAAGATCTCACAAACATAGATTTATACATAAATAATTCGATGGGTCGCCACAGACCCAGCCGTAAGAACCCAATAGGTGACCCCTTCAGGTAAAAAAGGGACAATAATTCACTTTGTCGCCATGTAAACAGTATAGTGGATAAACCATTAGAACATAATGGTCGATTTCCTGAAATAAGAAAGGATCATTGAAAGAAGTCATTGAAAACATCGTGGCGCTCGAACAACACGACCCCGTTAATTGCCCCACGGCATTTATCAATTTAGAGTTCGTTTACACGCTCGATAAGTTTTCAGCGTCGGGATGAGTAATTCGTTTGGTCTCGCGGCTCCGAGAACCTTTCCTACGCCGACGAATATTATTTCGTGACTCTGTTGAACGCTTCACTCCCACCACCACAGCGTCCCCGTAGTATCTGCGGCGGTCTTTTTTCGGAGCAGAAAATTCTTTTCCCAAGCCGTGCTTCTAAAAAAAAAACTTAGTGCCTCGGTGAACCGAACATTTTCATCGTGGCGTATATACCGTGACCGTTCGAGCAATTAAGAGAAACTTGGCGATTCGCGAGTGGATTTAGTTGATAAATTTTCTTAGATCAATTCGAAATTCAAATTTTTCTGGATCATTTCGAATTGAAATTGATTGTGGATTAGGATTTGATTAGAAAAATCGATTGTTCCTTCCTTTTGTTACTATTATTTCTGTAGTGTCCTAATAGTGTCTAATTATTATTTTGATAATAATAGGAATTAAACAGAAATCGATTTCCTCCACTAACGGAATAAAAATCTTGTTAGATGTTCATTAAGGTTTATAAATGAGAAAATAATTAATTAGTAAATTGTAATTCCATATTTTAATACGTGAGCTAATAAATCCTGAAAATAGATTATAGATTGTCATGGGAGGGCAAGATAAATGAAACACCCTGTATATATTGGATATAAAAATTAAATATTTGCATACACAAATTTTTCTAAATTAATTTCACAATTTCTTGAATCGTATTATAAACATTTACATGATTTTACTCTCTTCTAATTTGTAGTAATCTCACCGGTGACCGTCACAGAATCTTCTGTTCATACCATGTCGGTCACTGGTGAGCGTCGTCGAACATTACTTCGCGCTACGTCGGTCACCGGTGACCGTCACTGAATACAAATTCAAATGTCAAAAAACACAATTAATATGAACCGAATAGACTGCGATAAACGTGGTTAAGTAATTGTAAAATTCTTATTTCGGGTCAGAATTGACCCTGTATCCTGGTCTTGCTACAGAACGACCTCTTATTCGAGAGTATAAGTGCACACTTAGCATCGACAGCCCACCGCGAGATAGGGCGTTCCTTATCGGCGCCTCGTGAAACACGTTCCACCACCGGTCGGAAATAATCGTGAAACAGCTTTATTAATATTCCTCACGCGCCTCCGCGGTCACGCGTCTCCATTTCGTTGCTCGTTAATTGACCTCCGACCGTCTCAAGCCTCAACTTTTGACTTCCACAATCTCTGTCGATTTAATCGTCCATCCATTTTCCCATTTATTGATCAATTGACTATGAATGTTTATAAAAAAAATGTCACACATTTTTGTACATTAACTTTGTTAAAATGTACAAATTGCTACGCACACAGTGATACTATGGAATGTTCACTCACTTGACGCTATTCCTCCCTCTTGAAAACCTGCCGATTGGTAGCTATGCCATGAATTGGTAGGCATAGGTGTCGTATAGTGGGGGTGACAAAACGTTATAGTAGAACTGCAGTTAGATATGTGACCCAGTCATGACTGGGGCAAACGTCTAGTTCGATCGCTTTCTATGAATTAGTCTATCTATCAGTAGCTAACACTAGGTAGGTCATAAGGGTAGCATTGGAGACACAAGTTGGGGGAGGGGGTTGGCGAGAAAGCACGATCTTATAGTGAGATGACTCTACCTAGGTGACTGACTGAGTTATACAGTTGCTTCGATCTCCTTCAACCAATATACCTGCCTACTGATAGCTCTACCACTAGGTAGATGATAGGGGTAGCAATGGTGTCATATAGTAGGAGGGTTCATAGCACGATCTTGTACTGGGACCATTATACTTGGACGTTTGACTGTGTCACACATATACCTCGACTTCTTTCAACCAGTATGTCTACCTATTAGTAGCTACCACTAGGTGGGTCATAGGATCAACAATGTTGTCATACAGTGGGAGGTGATAAAGGTCATAAAGTGTGATCTAGTAGTAGGACAGTTGAACTTAGATGATCTCTTCCAACCAGAATGTCTACTTACTACCAGCCAAATCAACAAAATGATAGGGGTACAAATGCCCAAACATGGATAGGGCAACAAAGTGCGACCTTATAGTAGCATAACTACAGTGGACTCTAACTATATTGCCACTGAACATATTGCCATGCGAGGCACTTCCCCTTCACACGTACTTTCGCAGACACAAATTCGTTCTCCCACCACGTTGCGTACGCCGGCGCATCAGCACGATCCAGTTTTTGCACAGGCGCTGAGGCCGAGGCTACGACGACTAAACTTAGCATAGAGGGGGCTCTACAATCATTGCCATTTTAGTCCCCTACAGGCCCGACCATGTCAATATAGTTAGAGTCCACTATATATCATGACAGGGGATCATGCATATAATTCGATCCCTCCCAACCTATACGCAATACAGACTCCTCTCGATTATTGTCCAGTCGTTATCCTCTCGATTACTGTCAAGCGCATACATTGTTGCCCCTCCGTTTTTGTTGCCGAGGCTCGGGTTTCAGGCAAAAAAAAGAACGAATTTGCGAGGGTCTGAAGCATTTCCCTCTATAAGATTATTGTCCCGACGCGGACCCAAGTTCGGGACAATAATCGAGAGGAGTCTGTAATACGAATCGGACAGTGAATCACATGGAGTGGATGGATTTTTTTTGTTGCAGAGCTAGTGCTACCGAGCGGTCGACACACGCACACACGTCCCAGGGTGGCGGGCTCCGTCAGTAGCCTGGAGAAGTGGGGAGCGTGGCGGAGCAGCTAGTGAGGCAGCGGTGATTGAGTCGCTCGAGGCGGGGTCGGTTCCGGTGACAGACAAAGACGAAGACGACGACGCCGAGGAGGTGGTGGCGGTGGTGCACGGGGGAGGCGGCGGAGGCGGTGGGGCGGTTTCGAAGGTTGTGGCGGGTTGGTGTGGTAGTGGTGGGGTGGTGAAAGTCTCCCGAGGACGACTCCTGCGACGCGGCTCCGGCGGTGTAGCCGTGGCCTAGGAAGGGGGTGGTAGAATTAAAAAAAGAAAGGGGGATATAGATAAATCGGGCGGTTCTACGTGAACGGAGGGGAGGTTTTAGAGTTTGGTGGTGGCGTTTGTGAAGGCAACCTGTGGCAAGATGGGCTGTGCCATGTCGGCGGAAGAGCAAGCAGATCGAGAAGAACCTGAAGGAGGATGGCATGCAGGCCGCCAAGGACATCAAGCTGTTGTTGCTTGGTGAGTGATATGTAGAAATGAATACTTAATCTTATTTTTCTTTGACAGCGAACCTGCATGTGGTTAAGGAAATAATGGGAAATTAATAACTATAACTAGGAGAATAATAATGATGGTGTTAATAACTGAAACAATATTGTTCTGTAATTATGTGCTTATAAACGTTATTAGTATCGTCAGTTAAGTTCAATACAAATTTCTCTTTCGTTTGTAACTCAAGTAAATGTTTAACGGAGGTAATAAATGTTTAATTTCCGTATTTATGAATTATTATATGAAATTTGGAATTTGCATGAAATTTCATGTTATCGTAATGATTATTCGAAGGAATAATGACGGGAAGTATGTATTGTTATTGAATTAATATAGTTAAATTATTATTATTATTTAGTATTGTTTCTTGTTTCATTATTTATTCTATCAGAATAACTATTCTCTTAACGCCTCGAAATATCATTTATTTAAAAAAAATTAACTTTCTCCTTAAACAATTAGACTGTTAGTGTAATATCTGTTCGAAACACGACCGCGTGCTCTCTCAGTAAGTGCAAATGGTCAGTTGATCATTACATAATAAACACTTGCCTCTTTAATGGTTTTATATTCGTTGTTTATATTCTGATCAATCTAACCTATTAAGCCTCTGCGTCCTACTTACATAACAGATACTTTTTCGTGTTCAAGTATAATTTTCCCCCTGTACGTACATGCTCCAGTACCTCTTTAGTTTATTATAAAATTGGGCACATAAAAGTCGTGTTGATGAATTTATCGTTGCATAAAACAATAATATAATAATACTTTCTTTATGTAACTAATCTAATAATCTATATCACGTTGCAAATAATAATTATCGTTTATTTATTTACTAGATTAAATGAACAATGAAATAACCTATGAAGTTAATTAAATAAGAATTGAATAGGCTAAGAATTTGACATAATAATATCAACTAATAGAGGATACGATTAAAAAAAAATGAATTTCTGATTAATAAAATGTTTATTTAAAGCATCGATAAAGCCGGATTATTTTTCATGTGCCCGGATTAAATTGTTTATCAAAAAACACGCGGGTAAAATTGTACAAATACTAAGTAATATAAATAAAATAAACTACTTTTGTAAATTATTGTTAACACGTAATATGTTTTATTAATTTATCATTGAAAATAATCAGACGGACATTGTTTGAAATAACGCGCTAGAAATATCAAATAGAAGGAATGTACTCTGTTCCCCGAATTCGTTTCATATACCAGAGACTCTTGGTTTTCTTTCGCCACAGACAAATGCTTATTTTCTCGTGGCACGTGTTGCATTCTACACGAGCATAAATATTTCCAACTGATTTACGATAAAACAAACACACATTGGAGATTGAGAAAGAAATTATTAAAATTCAACGCGATGATTATGGAAGCTATTAAATTGTTTAAAAACCATTTAATCGAACCTTGGCAATTTCGAAGCTTGAAAGAAGACTCGGATGTAATACATGCAAAATTAGATAGAGCTTTAAAAATGTTCAGGAGGCGTAAAGAATTGCCGTCGAGGGTGCTAGAATTGAAGTAGGTTCAATAATTGTTCCACTCTCGCTGCAAATACAGCATTCGCTCAGGTTACTGTTTGTTTTTAATGACTCGCGAGTGAGCGACACTGCGATCGTGACTCGAAATTAACGAAGTGGATCTTAATTATGTTATAGTTATCATCGTAGACATGCCACTGGAAAATTTCAATTACATTATCTCCGTGTGAAAGAACAGCAATTGTAATAAGCTCCCATTATTTTACAATATTCAAATTGATATTTTCAAGTCTATTTTAATAATTCTTCCAATGTCTGTCTCTTGTTCCACATTATTATTACTTTCAATAAATGATTTTTTTATTTATTACAATGTGGGTTAGTAAGGTCTTTATTAGTAATTAATATAATAACTTTGCGTTATAAAATTGGATCCATTAGTAGTTTGTGGTATAAAAAAAGACCATGAAATTAATATTCTATATTATAAAATTATCATTTTAAGAAGTATATCTTAATAGTAAAATTTCACAAAAAAAAATGAAAAATTGTGGAATAAAATTGCAATAATAAAAATTGAAGTAATTGCATGATTTTGTTGGAATTTTGTTAGAACGTCAACGATCTAGTTTTTAGTTAAAAAAATCCCGAAATCGGTTGGGCACGCGCCGATTGAATCGAGGGGGTTGGAGGGGGGTGGGATAAAGAATCCTTCTGGTTTTCTGGTCGGCGTTCAAACCAAGATTATTCGAGGGAAATCTGGGTCCTGTTTATTGGTGTTACCAATGACGTCATTCCCTTCGTTTGCGTCTTCACCGAGTATTTTCATCCCATTTATGCTGCGAGGGAAACGCACGGCGAGATCGTTTCTCTCTTCGACGCCTCTATATCATCCGTTAATCCGTAACCGCGTGAAATATTCGCCCGCGGGGCGAGCTCTACGCGCCCCGTCGCGTCGGTAACAACAATAGGTACCGTTTATTCAACTTAACAAATAAATCGTACGACAAATTCATACGCAAAATTCCATAAATCGAATCGATAGAATGTTCAAGAAATTATTTTTTCTTTTTTTATAAAAGTTATCTGTAATTGTTAACCAAGAATCTCAACTAATACAAAAAAATTCATTACATTGTCTCACATGCATATATGTACTTCCCAATAATTAATAATCCTCTCAATTACTCCCACTTGCACCCCCATTACCAGGGGGTGTGTATATGTAGAATTAACACCCAAGTAATAACCCCAATATAACTAAAAGTTAAAAACTAAAAAATAATTCAACACACTTCGTGAATAATTGATAACCCCTCAATTATTCCTATTTACACCACGCTTAAACTAAGGGATGTACATATATGCAATTATTAATGCCCAAGTATTAACCCCAATACAACTAAAAGTTAAAAACTAAAAAATAATTAAAAACACTGCATGACATACAATTCCCAAATAATCGATAACCCCTTCAGTTATTCTTACCTACACCATCCTTAAACCAAGGGGTGTGCATATATGCAATTATTAATGCCTAAGTATTATCCCCAATATAACTAAAAGTTAAAAATGAAAAAATAATTAACACACTTCTTGACATACAATTTCCAAATAATCGATAACCACCTCAATTATTCCTACTTACACCTCCATTACCAAAAGGGGAGGAGGGTGGAATCGCAGTCCTACAAGACCAAGCCACTGTGTTCCCCTTTCATGCTTCTGTCCTCAATATCAGTTACGATTTCATGATGTCGTTTCCTCGTGGTGGTTCACCAACAGAGGGTGGGGTGGGGGCAAGGATCTGTGGATCGATTCGCATTAATTTATTAGCCGAGTTAGCGCAAGTGGCATGCGAACGTTATGGCGGAAGGAAGGTGGTTGGAATTCGTACGTTCCAAGCCGATCGATAAGAGAGGTGGAGAACCGTGGCTGGAAGTGCGACGGGAACGATTCCGAAGCGCGCGATGCGGCGCGGCGTAGCGGTTCGGGATGAAAGAGCTTTTTAAAAGAGGGGGAGTACCTACACCGGCATCCGTAAGCAGGAAAACAAGTTCCGCTGGTACATACGGTCGCGCCACACGTCACTTCCGGTCCCCTCGCTTCCGCCATAGGCGCCGTTTTTCTCTTTTCCGTTTCTAGTGCACCTTTCTTCCTCCCTTTTCCTTTTCTTTTTCCGATTATACTAAAAATCTCGAGAATTTATCATTATCTCAAGAAAATATACGATTTTTCCAATGTTATTTTTATTTATAAGATTTCGTTTTTCTTTAATTGGAAGTTTAGTTAGAATATGATTTGATTTGTTAACCTCTTGAGTATACGCAGTATCATTCCAAAATTGTTAGGAAATATTCACTAGGAAATTCCTTAACAAAACAGGGTACCAATTGATTGTTGGTAATATTTATAAATATATTTATATGACAGAAATATTTTTCTGTTCTTAACAAATTTGTGCCTGCAGAGGTTAATTATTTTTATTTTTGGGCAAATTGGTTGGGTTTTGAACATTTTTGGGAAACTTAGCATGAGGCTATATTTCTTCGATATTTTGGTATTATGTTTATGGAATTTTCAGGGAAATTATTTCAGTCGGTTTTGTTAAAAATCGATTTTCTGATTAATCGACCAATGGCCTGATTATTAACTGTGAGGTTAATTACTGTTTCGAGCGATCAATTTTTACATAGGTTGGTCAGAAATTATTAGACACTCGGTACGTTATGCATAATTAATTGTTCTTTTCCTTATGATTTCAGGTGCCGGCGAGTCTGGAAAAAGTACCATCGTAAAACAAATGAAGTAAGTTTACTGTCCTAATTTCTTTTTAAATATAATAATTTTACTTCAATTTACGTAAAAAATATTTACTGGTAACCAATTCTAGGATCACTAACATAATTTTAAAAATATAAATTTTACTACCATTTATTAAAATACATAAGAGCGGGGTGAGGAATTAAATTTTTAATGCTAGTTACTGTCAGTATAGCTGCATAGAAATAATTTTTAATATATTGACCGAACCGAGTAATTTCGAACGTTCCGCAGATGTTACGCTTATAAAACGATGTTTTAACACACAATCAGCTCATAAACTTCATTAAGGGAACGTCAGATCGGTCGTTCACCCCAAAAAATCAATATTTTCCCCGTTGAAAGAACAGTTTGCCGGTGGAAACGTGTTTCGAATCTTGTTTTCTCGTCAATGGGACCCATTCATACCGTCCAGTGAACAAAATCCCGTGTGTCCAGCCACCGGACAAGACTTCCGGAACGTTGATCGATAATATTCCACGGTTATGGTTCCCAATCTTTCGACTTTTTAAATTATGCTCCATCGAAAACGAAACTGTAACAAAAATTTGCTATTCGAGTTCGAAATACAGTAAAATTTTAAATTAAAAAAATGTGATCTGCAAAATCAATGATCAATTGATCTGCTTTCAACTGATAGTAAACGAAGGAGAATGAAATAATTGTTTATTCGAGTACAAAATCGATATAAAAACAAAAATTTTTATTTATTTATAAAATACCAGTAATGCAATTTTTCGACAGCTCTTAATTACCAGGTTGTTTCATTCTTAAGATGGAAAAAGTTTAAATTTTTGCGACGTTATTTATAATAATTTTTTCTACAGAAATAATAATATCTGATATAAAGATCTAAAACGTGCCTTCATAAATAAATTTTACTTAATTTGAATTAAGATAAATAAAGAATATTGTAAAATAATGTAAAAAATATTTTTATGAACAATTTGAATTCGTTACCAGCACCGCGCCAAATTGTTTTGAAATCATAGCCACACCTGCGTATTGCTGGTTCTTCGAGCACGAAAGCCTACAAGCACACCCGTTCTCTATTTTTACAGAATTATCCATGAAAGTGGATTTACACCGGAAGACTTCAAACAGTACAGGCCCGTGGTGTACAGCAACACGATACAATCTCTAGTCGCTATTCTCAGAGCGATGCCGAATTTGGACATCAGCTTCTCGACCAACGAGCGGGAGGTAAGCTGAAACTCTTTCTCTTTTTACCAATTTTGGACCTTGACTGAAAAACTAGTCCTCCATTTTAAACCTTCCATCACAGAATTAATTGTTTCCAACACAATCCTTGAACCAATGAAAGAAAACGTACTGCATTTGTATGAAATTCACTCATTTTCGTAGAGTCTATGATCGTTATATTTGTCCCCTTTCGTCGATATATGCCGCCATTTTGAAAGTAGAAAAGGGCGGGAAAATGTTTCGAATTCGAACTGTGTCACCAGATCATGAAAAGAAGAAATATTGAACGAATTACTGGTACATTTACTAAAATACCACGGAGTAGGAGAGGATGTATTAAAAATTAAAAAAAGAGAGGATAACTGTATATTTTATTCATTCAACAATGCTTGCTACACCTGCAATCCTCGACAGTGGCGACTATTTTTTGTTTATTTTAATAAGTACCACTTGGTCTAGATCTAGAAGCTTTAAATAGTATTCTTCGACACTCCTGTACATTACCACAGAACCCAATAAAGGGAGCCCCGTATGTCACTGGGTATCAGGAACGAATGACACCGAGGCAGAGGTTAGAGGCCGGCGGCTGGAATAAAAAATTATCGATAGGGCTGGGAGCACTTGAGCGATCGATGCGTATCTCGAGGCGGCACTGAAGCACCCTCATCCGGCATATTTACCGATCGTGCAGCGTCGCGGCTGCGTCGTTTACCTTAGAGCCAATAACGAGAGCCCCTGCCTCGAAAACAAGGAGCACGAGGGGCTGGCTGACTCTCGAGTACCGATTGATCCGGCTTTTCAGGCCAGTGCCTCTCAATCCGCTGGCGGTCGTCTCTTGTGTCAGCTTGGCGGATGATTGATGCCAATTCTCGACGGTATAGTCGACGATAAGAATATAGTTCAGGCTGTAAAGTAAGTTGAAGCGTCTTTTGGGGACTTGGACCAGGGTCCTGGAGTCCAGCTAGAGTCCTAGGGTCTAGGATCGTTTTCAGCGTTTCTTACCATCTTGGAAATTGGAATCAGAACTAGTATAGTAGGTGGATAAGAAATAGTGAACTTGTAGAAATCTTTTCAGTAACAGCAAGTGCCTTGGGTGATCCTCTTTGCTGGTGTTTGGGTAGGTAGGCTCCCAAGCACATCAGAGCTGCTTGAAACGTCTCTAATCTTATTATATATACTCTGTCAGACTAAGGAAATATTGTAAAGTAAGTTGAAGCTTCTTTTGGGGACTTGGACCAGGGTCCTGGAGTCCAGCTAGAGTCCTAGGGTCTAGGATCGTCTTCAGCGTTTCTTACCATCTTGGAAATTGGAATCAGAACTAGTATAGTAGGTGGATAAGAAATAGTGAACTTGTAGAAATCTTTTCAGTAACAGCAAGTGCCTTGGGTGATCCTCTTTGCTGGTGTTTGGGTAGGTAGGCTCCCAAGCACTTCAGAGCTGCTTGAAATGTCTCTAATCTAATATACTCTGTCAGACTAGGGAAATATAGTTTTCAAGGTCGGAGCACAGGTTCAGGAGAATTTTCACCGATATTTCAGCTTAGCATGCAGACAGCAACAGTTCCCTTGCTGGCTACTCGGAACTGTTGATGGGCTACCTGTTGATCAGCAACCTGATGGCTTCCAGTAGTGCTTCACGATAGTTTGTCTCGCTTAATCCAGCACTTGTATGTCCAATATTGTCTTGCACTGCTAATTTTCACTTGTTCATCAGTGTTTTCGCAAAGGACTATACGCTTGTTGTTAATTGACAACAATAATGTACATTTCTCAGTACTCATGGAATACATTTTCTAGAATAGTACTTCTACAGTGACACAATTTAATACTACTACAAAGTTTATCAAAAGTTTGGAGTAAATTATTCCTAAATACTGATATAGATTATTAGAAAAGAAATCAATATTGTTCCCGTAGATGTTATTGGGTGTACTAATGAGAGGTCACTAATGGAAGGACTAGTGGAAGGAGTCCCTAATGTTCTAATGGGAATTACCTTCAATTATCTGATATTATATCTTAGATTGTTCTTTTGCTACATTGTTACATGAAACCCTATATACCAGTGACTTGCACACTTAGGTGGTACTAGGTAGAAATTATCCCCTAAGTGCCTTGACCACCCAAAACACATGAAGCCAAAACGTAATGTGGATTGTAAAAACGTTTTAATATCATCGACATATAAGGCGTATTCTAGATAATCTAACGAATTGTTGGACCATGATGTTTCAGACGGACGTGAAAATGGTATTCGACGTGATCCAAAGAATGGAGGACACGGAGCCATTCGGCGAGGAGCTTCTGGCTGCGATGAAGAGGCTCTGGGCGGACAGCGGGGTCCAGGAGTGCTTCGGTAGGAGCAACGAGTACCAACTCAACGACTCGGCGAAATAGTAAGTGAACCCGATCGATTATTCAGATCTTGCTCTCGTTAAAAATGTCAAAAGAATCGTCCTCTTTTGACGACTTCGAGGACTCTTCAGTTATCAGTAACTGAACGATCCTGAGTGATTGTATATGCATTTATAGCAATTTTGAGGATTAAGGACTTTAACGAGGACTAGTAAAGTCTTATTTTTCATTTGTATTATTATATTATATTACATACTATTTATATTGTTCTATTTTTCATACTATTTTCAATTGGATAATTTTTTTTCAATTCTGGATTCTGTAGAATTAATTATAAGATTAGGAATTTGTGAATGCATGAAATCCACTGTTTAATAATTGTTAGTGAAAAATCATAGTGGTTATGTTCCATCAACCTACATAATTCACAGAATGTCCCAAGAGTGTTTCTCTCTTGAAGGTAACCGGGCCATTGAGAGTCTCTCATTAAACTTCCAGAGAAATCGATCCGTCATCCCGTTCTTCGAGACTTGAGCACTTCAGCTCTCGACAAAAATTACGTCTGTGTTTTTTAAAAAAATTGTCAAAATTGAACACGGAATGAACCTTCCGTTAAATGAACTTCTGTTTGTTGAACCAGATTTAGGTTTCATCGATTCGTATCTTATACAATTAATTATTCAATTATTACAATTTTATAGTATTTCTTTATTATTCTACTATTTTTTATTCTTAAAGTTCTTTATTATTCTGTTACTTTTAATTATTATAATTTTTTTAAATTAATTTCTCATTTCCATTACTTGCTAAGTTTTCTGGATTATGGAATAATGAACATCAAAAAGTGTGAGTAATTAGTGATTTGTTTTTAAAAAATGAATTTTTTTAGAAAGATTTATAGTTGATGTAGAGCGTTCACATGTATTAATGTATAGTGAATATTTACAAATAAGCTTAACCTAGAGCTAGTTCGCCCAAGCCATTGAAATAAGGAAACCTCGTCGCTACCTAATTTGGAGTACGTCCAACTTTGATATAATCGAATCCGACAAAAATCGGACACCTGTGCTTTCATTCATTCTTTATCCTCCATTCTGAATGAACCACTATTAGTGAAACTGGTACAATTTTTTTTAAATTATAAAAATATATAACAATACAAATATAAAAAAACATATCAAAAGACCATTGAAAAGCTGTAACTAGAGTTGTCAGAGAAAATTTTAGTTGAAGTTAGAGGGTGTTTCAAAACAGGTGGTCATAAATGAGGGCAAAAAGGATCATGTAAAAAAATCTCAAATTAAATCTACGAGTTTTGAAACACCCTGTATAGTTGAACCAAACGAAAAATCGATCATCACATTTCTGAAAATATGTTTACTACATTTCGTACCACTAATTCCTCCTTGAAATTAAATCTATGTGTTTTGAAACGTCCTGTATAGTCGAACCAAACGGAGAATCTGTAATGGTTTCCAAAAGAAAGTTCCATAAAGCGTAATGGGAGAAAATGGGTGGGGAGAATATTCTCCTTACTGCCGAGACAACCGATGGTAGGGTCCTCCGGTGTCGGCCATTTTATTATCCGAAGTGTATTTGAAGGGAAACCGCGGCAGTAACAACGTTACATTATACATATAGACGCAACACGTTGGTCGCGCCCAAGCTAGGCCGCGTCCGCGGATCACTTTTCGCCGTCAATATCTCGACAGGTCGATAACCAATGGCCGAGACAAGGGAAACTATATACTTTTCTTGGAAATCTTTTATTTGCCGCGCGCACACCCCTGTCACGTGTACCGCAATGCAGCTTAATCACCAGTTGCTTTACGAAGACGTGGTAGAGTAGCTGCCAAAACTACATGACAGTCGTAATTTTCCTTAAATCTTCCTACTGACTGCAATTTCTTTGGTTCAATATACCAACCATGTACAATAGGATTTTTAGAATATCATATTTTTTTATTAAAACGGGTTTTTTAATGAATAGGTCTTTTTTACTTAATGTAATATATAGGCAACTTAAAAGAACTTCCAAATTAATTTAGCGTCGTTCAAGATTATTCAAAGTCTTAATAAGTAAGTCTACTTCAAGTCTTTACTGGTATGAAAAGTGGATACGTAGCTTAATAATTCTTCAAATTCCTGTTATCAGTAGCAGATTAGTATCGTAAAAGATCCGAAGTGATCATTTTACAGAAACATATATACTGAACGATTAAAACATTTTTAGGTTAGGAAATGAATTATGTAAACTGGAATTTATTTGCTACGCATGGTACGGTGTAACGAAAACAGAAAATGAATGAAAATCGCACATTTGGAAGTTCAATTAAAAAAATATAAAATGACTATCATCTCGTTTCCACTACAGCACCTGACTTAACAACGGTTTCAAGTCGTCCCGGCGGACATATTGGAAAAATCAGCCGACTCGCGAGTCAATTAAACTCCCCACTGTTAATTTAATCACGGTCGATCTACTAGAAAGAAAAGGAAAAAAACCAAAGAGGGAGGCATCAAAAGGAGGACGTGTGCGAGTCGAAGGATTCGAACCGTTTCCTTTTCCCCGTTTTTTCCCCCGTCTTTCTTATTTAGGTTTAGCGGTGTATTGATCGCCGATGACGTCACGCCACGCCCGTGTCACGTGGCCCAAAATGGCCGCCGACACCATCCCCCCGCTACTGTTCCCACTCCTTTTCAGCCACCCCACCCTCCCCCGGACTCTTCTCTCTTTTTTCATTCCGTTACCCCCCTTTTGTACCGGGGGAACAGTAAGAAAATAGAGTGATACAAGAATGAAAGAACGCCAGGAGGAAAGGGGGAGGGGGCGAAAACAATGGGAAGAAAACACCACTTGTACCGCGAAATTCGTGATAATTGGACACTTAATAATTACCAAAAGAGAGTCGGGGAAAAGGAAGCCGGATTTAAAGGGGACGAAGTGCAACGGAAACCTTGAGAATTCATTCTTTTTTTGTTTTTTTAATGTAACTTGATTTTGTGCGGTTTTAATATTGTGTTTTATTGTGACGTAAAGGATATTGAGAGGATTGTTTCGTGATATTGTGGTACACGATGGAAAATGTTTTGGGAAAAGAATCTACCAAAAATCATTTTTTATCTTCAACACATGACAAGGATTTCCAAAATGGCAGAATGCTTTTTGCAATCTTGTGTTAATAACCCATTGTTTCTACTAGATTCATCGTAACTATCAGTCCCCTCGATATCTATGCGTTCACCAGCGACGTAAAGCAACGTAAAAGCCCTAACAGCCCGATAAAATGGAAGCGCTTTGTACAGGTGCATCCAACTTTGGCAATGAACGACCGACAAATCGTCAACCATGGACACGCAAAGGCGAGATCGATCGGTCCCGACCTGGATTGCAACGTCAATTCCGAATGTTGTTTACCCCTGGAATTGCTTTATATACAGGTCACATTAGAATTGTTGCTTCATCGCTTGACTCGACGCTGCGCAACCAAGTTGTACTCCTGATACGAAAAACTTCGTATTTATGTCCGATTAATGTTTTATTGTTTGTTTGAATTTTCAGTTTCCTGGATGACCTGGACCGATTAGGGGCAAGGGATTATCAGCCTACGGAGCAAGATATTTTAAGGACCCGTGTGAAAACAACGGGTATAGTCGAAGTCCACTTTTCCTTCAAGAATCTTAATTTCAAGTAAGTCGTTCTTCGGACAACTTATATGTATTCACTTATTTTTTTGTCGTGATTATACTAAAACAGCACTTATAGTGCTTGTGGAGAAACTTTTCTTTGAGTGTTAAAATATTTTCTGTAGGACAATTTGGAACATTTTGTCTGGACCACCCTGTATAAAGATAGAAATTCTACTGGAGTATGGAAATTGCAGTACTATCCTGAAATAATACTTGCATAGTATACACAAACAGAATATCCCTTTAATATATAGTAGCTTTCTCATAAATATTCTGTACATCTTATATTGATCACCCTGTATAATGATAAAAATTATATTGGAATATTACCCTAAAATATTGCTTACATAGCATTCATAAACAGAGTTTCTTCCCAGAATGTAATAGTTTCTTGCAAAATAGTTTATAACACTTTATTTGTACCACCTTGTACATACATAAACATTGTATTGGCTCGTCAAAGCAAATTTTTTCTAAAATAACATTTGTACCCGTAAAAACTTCAAATTTTATAATCTTCTGTAAAATTACTTGTAACGCCTAATGTGAAATCACCCTGTAGATCGTAAGAAATTGAATGTCCATCATTTTCGGTCAGTTCTAGTAGTCACTTGCAACGATAACGGTAGCAATTAAATGAAAAAAAAAAAAAGGAAGGTATGTACAAGGTGGGATCCTTCCATCAACCTGATATAAAGAACCGAAATGCAGGTGTAGGTTTATCGATGCGCCACCGTTACGAAAGAATGTTATCGTTTCAGGAACGCTCGGCCAACAAACGGAAAACTGTTTTCCCATTCCATAATCGAACGGTTTTCCCTATCTTGTACACGTATGATAGTACAGTTTGGTTTGTTCGTGTTAACATCCTGTACGATATAGATAACGACTGTCAAATTTGCCTCGGGAAATCGGTGCTTTTAATGGACTGGCCTTGAAAAAGTATTTTGCAGTTCAGACGTTTTATGAAGTAATTTGGAAAATAATTTTTTTAAATAAAAAACTTCTAGGCAAACATTATCGACCTTTTTTTATATTATTACTTATCGTTGTGTTATCGGCTTTTGACAAAAATATTAGATCCTTGAGATTCAAGATGGCTGACCACCATTCGTACAGATAACCCTCGTATAACACGGTGGTTGGCTTCTTGAAAATTACCGTGTCGTGCAAATTCGTGTTATACGAAACCAAGAAGTATGTATGATACAAAAAGTAGGGTTAGGTTGCAAACATTAACGAAAGTGTACACAGTTCTTTAACCGTACTGTAGAAATGCCGTATTATTCGAGGGTTCATTGTATCTACAAATTTGTAAAAAGGAAATGATAATAACTAACAAATGACTGATAGCTAATAATGGACTCCCATATATGGCGTGAATTTATAGCTTGTTTCGTATGAGTATCTCGAGAAATGTATCGAGTAGAGTCAGCGAAGAAGCGGTGGGATAAGAGAAAGAGCAATGTCTCGCGAATGATTGAGCATGAATCATAACGCTGATAATTTAAGAAGCCGATTGTGAGAACGAGAGTTCCTCCTTCGAGCTTGGCGTCACCGTGAAAAGTAAAATTTACTGGCAGAGCCTTCATGCAAATTTACATTTTTGTCCGATCAATTTACACAATCAAACGTAAAAAGACGCTCATATTCTTTTTTTTGTTTAATTTCATTAAGTAAAAATTCAAGGAAAAAATGTTATTAAATGACACTAAGTTGTTTATTTTATCAGTATATTTTTGCATACTGTATTTTCCCACCCTTTTATTTGATAAGAATGATGCAGGACTTCAGGGAATCATAATTAACATTGTTGAGAAATTTTCTTGAAAACTAATAGTGAATTTTCAAAAAAAAAGTTAACATACCCATCAGCTTGCAACAATTATTTAGAAAGCATCGGTAAAATAGAACAATTCACAGAATTCAGTGGAATTTCACTTTATGCAGGGAATTAAATTTTATGTAACTTTAGTTTCTCTACATTTATCCTTCTATATGTCCAGATTTATTTTATTTAGATTACTCATCGAGTTGTTCTTCATTTGCATGTTAACGCTTATTTGCAGACTGTTCGATGTGGGCGGCCAAAGAAGCGAACGTAAGAAGTGGATCCATTGCTTCGAGGACGTGACCGCGATCATATTTTGCGTTGCGATGTCCGAGTACGATCAAGTCTTGCACGAAGACGAGTCGACGGTAAGAGATCACTTCTATGTATAATAGAAAATGATAGAACAGAAATATATTATCTAGATAATATTATTAAAAATATATTGTAGTCTACCTAATATCTAGGAAGCTGCAGTAATTGTCCATATATTGAGTGAATAATAAACATTAATGTATTATCTAGATAATACAAAAATTATCTAATAGTAAACCTATTATTTGAACGTTTCTAATATCGAATTGCGTTAATAGTTACAAATTGACAGGTTTCCATATCCTCCGTCCAATATCTCAAACAGTATCTCTTGTATACATATAACATAGCGAAATATTCATGGCAGTCAAGATAAATGAAACACCCTGTATAATAAGTAACAAATTCATAATCCAACTAGCAAGTTCAGTGGGACATTATCAGCCTTCTGTTTTGTTTTTAACTTGAACAAAACCTTCAATTGTACAGCAGACCCTCCCGTGTCCGAACGTTCTACTATCCGTACGTTCTGTGATCAGAACAAAATACCTCGTATCAACAGACAGCCTTCTGTTGCGAATATGTGGTGTTTACATTCACTAAAAAAGTATAGTATATATATATATATCTATTCAAGTAAATGAGCTTTAGTATCAGAAAAGTGATTATGTTCCATTCTTCAAGAATTCTTTTATCCAAATATTATGTTTCCCTATTAGTTCGGATATGGGAGGCTCTACTGTATTCACCCACGTAATTCCAGTCGTCATAAATTAGCCCCCTCTCCAAAAAAACTGTACTTCCGTAAAAATCCATAGTCATATTTAGACTTATGTTTCCCTATCTTAGTTCGGATATGGGAGGCTTCACTATATTAAGATATTTCCACGTAATTCCAGTCTTTTGTAAATTAGTCCCCTCGAAAAAAATCAGTACTTCCGTAATGATCCCATAGTCCAGTTGTAATAAACTGGGAAAAAGACAAATGGGTTTAACGAGTGTGACGAGTGCACCTGAATTAAGTTAACGTATCATCATCACGCGCCCCGTGTGTAACGTTAGCCCGCCCAGCCCAGGGATACACGATCCGTCACGGTGCCCCGGGACCCGTCACACTGGGGGGAAACCCGAGAAACCAGAAACACACCAACCTGGGAGCTACGAAATTATACCGTGCATATAGATATGGACGGCCAATTGCCGAGGCCCCCTCCCGATGTGGGAAGAATACGTGACGGCGTGCAATTGTCGGAAATTAACGGGTTCTCCTGGTGGAACGACCTCACCCATTAACCCCGCTTGCCCCTGTGTTCCACTGGAATGATTTATTATTTATTTTCCTTGGGTGGACCGCGTCAAGTCTCGTTTCCATGAAAAAATCTTGATAATTATTCTTTTCGTAAATTGAATTTTTCATTGAAATTTGTACCATATTTTTTTTGAAAATTCAGTGACTGTCATCGATAACCGTTGTGTACGGTCATTTGGATTTGTGAGAAAGAAATTTACTATCTGTATAATAGATAAATATGTAATCGTGAAAAATAAATTGTTTATGTATATTGTAATTGGACTATGGATATTTATGGAAATTTGTATTTTTAATTGGAAATTGGATCCTGAGAACTATTTATTTACTAGACCAGTGGGTTTGTTCGGTTTAAAGTTAAATGAAAACTTTTTTTTTTTTACAGAATCGAATGCAAGAAAGCTTGAAGCTGTTCGACTCAATTTGCAATAACAAATGGTTCACCGACACCTCGATTATTCTCTTCTTGAACAAGAAGGATCTTTTCGAGGAGAAAATTCGCAAGTCCCCTCTCACCATTTGCTTCCCCGAGTATGCTGGTAAGATACCATTTTGTTTTTCAATAGATATTAACAATTGTACTAATTAGTTTTAAAAGATATTGAAAACTAGTCTAAAATCTCGAATAAAAGAATCTGTTATTTTTCATTTCTTTTATTATTTTAACAAAAGAATGCAATTTTTTTTTAGTTTGCTTCAAATATTTGTTATTTAAAGTAAATCTGTATTAACTAACGTAATATCTGTACTTCAGATATTACGTTATTTAATTATTTAGAAGTAACGTTTATAAAATTGGATTATTGACTCATTGTGGTAAAAATAAACGCGGAAACTTGCCTGGATAGAAAAAGTTTTATAATCTCTTGACGTCCTCGAGATTCCTTCACGCGCCACAAGAATATTATTTCCTCTTGTTTAGGGTGATCTAAATACACTCCTAGCCGTATCCAACATGGCGGAGTGCGTCTTATTGTAACTATAGCTCCTCATCGTACGATAATTCGATTAATATTCACAGATACTTATTTATAAAAATCCAGGCATTCTCTATATTATAATTATTATAAACAAATTCAAGTTTGATCCACTAATGACACAATTTTTCTATCGCTATTGACATTAAATAATTACTTTATCCTACCATTCATTCAAGTGCAAAAAAATGTAACCTAGAAAAAGTAATCCATTCTTCCAGTGAGATTTTCCTTAGACGAGGTTAGAAAAAAGTAATGAAATCACGATGTATAGAATTTTTTATAAAATTAAAAATCTTGTTGACGCTACAAATGAAACGTTACTTTAACTTAATGATATAGTTAAAGTTAATCCTAGTTCATCTGCATATTTCATGCCACAAGACCTCATTTTAATACCTAATTATCCCTGCCCCGGTGGAATTACATCTAAATTAGTAATCAGTCGAGTTTGATTGCTAGCTGGAACATAACGTAGCAGTGGTAGACACAATTATTCCGCCTCAATTGATAATTTATAGAAACAGTAATATAATATAATAAGACCAATAATAACAGGGTTATAGCGGGTGTGCCACTATTTTTCCTCAAGTTGAATATTTATTTTATAGAGAAACGAAAATATTTACTGATTCAGTAACGATTATTCTTCGCCATTTTTAAAACAGAAAATGGCGGGAAATTACGACGATTTAAATTCGAAATAGGTTACGTTAAGAAGTAATAGATTACTCGTCGGTACAGCTTTCAATCAATCATCCCAAAATATTATTGTAATTCGTGTTAAATTGAAAAATACAAACTTGTCAAGAGATATCTGACAAAATGCAACTTGTTCATTGTCCACAGGAGCGCAAGAGTACGGGGAGGCGGCCGCGTACATCCAGGCGCAGTTCGAGGCGAACAACAAGACAGGCAATAAGGAGATCTACTGCCACACGACTTGCGCCACTGATACAAACAACATTCAGTTCGTGTTCGACGCGGTCACAGATGTCATTATCGCCAATAATCTCCGTGGCTGCGGTCTCTATTAGGATAAATATTCCCGTCGCGGAGCCGATTGACCGGCACGCATTCACACTCGCTACACACACGAGGAACACGACCACGAAGCCGACAGGCATGCATCGCGCGACGAAGGAGCGTATGAGAGCGAATGAGAGACCGTGAGACTGATCCAGACTTGCGAGGAAGAGAGGACCGAGTGATCGAGAGGGAGAGAATGGGAGGAAGTGAGTGGACAACGAGAGAATGTAAGAGAGAAAGAGAGAGAAAGATACACCAATGTACCACCGCTGCTGCTACCGACCACCTGCGGTTACCTTCTCGACTCTTTTTTTATTTTAACTGCCCTTTCGACTTGTTCTTCCTTCCTGGGGACCTATCAAGGATTTACTGGCTGTGCTTCTTTATTGATCAGCAAACCCAACCCACAATTTGGATTCCACATTTGGAAGCAGTGAAAGTTTTTGGAAAGTACAGTGTAGTCCTCCGACATGATCAGCTTGGGAGTGGACCTGACCTACGAGATAAGTAGCTACCATCATAAGTAGTTCTTTATTGATCAACAAACCCTAACCACAATTTGGATACCACATTTGGAAACAGTGAAAGTTTCTGGAATGACCAGTATAGCCCCCAGGATAATTAGCTTGAGAGTGGACCTGACCTACGAGTTAGGTAGCTACCATCATAAGTAGTTCTTTATTGATCAACAAACCGAATCCACAATTTGGATACCACATTTGGAAGCAGTAAAAGTTTCTGGAATGACCAGTATAGCCCCCCAGGATAAGTAGCTTGAGAGTGGACCTGACCTACGAGTTAGGTAGCTAACATCATTAGTTCTTTATTGATCAACAAACCCAATCCACAAATTGGATATCACAGTTGGAAGCAGTAAAAGTTTCTGGAAAGTACAGTATAGCCTCTCGAGATGATCAGCCTGAGAGTGGACCTAACCCTAAGAGTTAGGTAGCTAACTTCATAGATAGTTCACTGTAGGGTCAATCTCAAACTGTACCAGTTTGACTTTAATCTTGACAGTGGTGGGGATATTGATTGTCTTGTTTAATACAACTTCTCTGGCTTGAAAACTTCCATTCTTGTTCCAAGTGATTAGCTGTTGATATCAAAGAATTGCTTACAATCTGTATGTTCCTAATTTGAAGATTCACTTCTTCTGAATGCTACCATGAACTTCTGAAGTGGGTTAATGTGGTCCGTCAATCAATAAGCACTCAGTACTCTTTAACAATGTTTTGTATAAACAAAGGAAAGAATTTCATAAGTGATCAGGATCCTTAAGGAACGATAGTTTGAAGTCCAAGAAGAAAGGGAACTCACCAAAGATCGATCCAGATTTTTCATGGATTTCGCGACGAATCGCACAAAGACCAATCACGAAGCACACTTGGATCCAAGGGTTCCTCCATCTTGGTTTTATTGCCGAGTCACTGACACGTGGGAGCATGGAGCTCATTTTAGGCAGACAATCGTTGATACATTAATGATGATAATTTCCAAGCAAGCAGCATTAATAATTTCATATAGTAATAAAGGTATACAGAGTGATTCATACTATTATCTGATCCACTTTTTCAGTGATTCCTTAAGTTTGAGGTCATGTTTAAATAAATGAATCAATGGAACTAATTATATTATTTTACTAAAATTTTTATTAGATCAGGTCGAGGTTATTTGTAGTTTCTCAGGTCTCTTCGGTGTATAGGTAGGCGTGGTCAGCAGGGCGAAATGGTGGGGATGGCCTCAGTCAACTAACTCTGAAACTTCTGTAGTTCAATAATAAAAATTACTGTAATTAAGGATCGAGACTAGATATCGTCAATCATCAAAGGAACTTTGTTCTTCATTTTTTCACGAATTATCAATATTTATAAAGAAACATAAAAAACATAGTTAGGTAAATGTATGAAAAGACTGTATACGTTTATTGAAAAATTAATTAATCGTATAAAAACTGTCCTTTGTAAAAATGATTTTCTGCCTAGAAGAGCCGGAACACGTTGTAATATACATATAATCCCTTTCGCTCTTGTACAATTATTATTCAACGTTCTAGCTTTACTTCTACTGTGTTACGTTCATTATCGATCGCACGGATCACGCATAAGTCGACGATTAATTATACATGCTTGCAGTTGTTGCGTATCAATCAGTTGCAACTAATATTATTGGTCAGTCCTATGGATTAGGAAATTGGACCGTAAAAACAGACGATTGGTCAGAGTCAGCATCAGGTGAAAAACTAAGAGATTTTTTCATCAACATGAGACAATTTCTTTTTGTAAATGAAAATCAGTATTTGCGAAAGTATAATTTATCCGATTAGATAATTATGGACAACATATATAACTTCAAAAAATGAAAATTAAAAAAAAAAAAAGAATTCGGGGATGATAATTGTTTTATCTTCTAAGGATTTTGCAACTGATATTTTTCAAGGTCGTCTCGTTTCATCGGTACGCACATTTTCACAAAATTTCGCACAATCGCGCGCGCGCGCACATACTTCGAGGAAAGTTTCAGCGAACGAAGTAGGACGGTAAAAAGTTGCGATCCTTGAATTTCCGGCGTTGAAGCCATTTAGTTTCTTCCTGGCAACTAAATATTTTTGAGAAAAAATCTTTTCTTTTCGACGTCACTGATTTCACTTTTAAAAGCATATATAGTATGTTCAGTTAATGGCAAATTTTTATGATTCTTTTTGTTAAGTGAATTTTCATTGGCTCTGATGGGATACCAGAAAAGTCGAGCAAAACACAAATGAAACATTCCACATACAAGTACAGTGTCCTTTGATTTTAATTTATATATAATTAATTGCAGCTGCAAGGAATCTTTTGAATTTCGATTAATCTACCAAAGAGCGATTCGATTTCTCTCGAACGACAAATCCGTTTTTTAGATTCACCTATAACAAGTTAAACGATTTTTTAACAAACGAAGTATTGTTAACAAATTTTGCTTTAAGGGGACAATGTTGCAGTTGCAACTCCACGCTACTTAATCGTAATTTAATCGATAACTGAGAGGGGTATTTGACCAAAAAGAACCAAAGAATCGAGTAGAACAATAATTAAAAAGGTATTCTCGACAAACAATCCGAATTGCATGTGAAACGGAGGCCAAAAAACAGTGGAACGTTCAAATTTCTTTAGACCTACGTGCACTCAAATGTAGGAGGAGAACGTTCTTTTCATTTCGACCTCGATTGATGTTTTCATTTTTATGCCGACTTTGAGAATTATTTTTATATATCGTTAGTTAAAATCTAGGGATAAAAGAATAGTATTACTATCACCGTCGTTATTTCACATATAGAATTTCTAGTCAAGTTAGGAAAAAAAAATGAAGAACGTACTAGCTCGTGCAAAGCACGATCGGGGATTTAATTTTGCATACGAATGAAATTTTTCGTTGAATATTAATTGGTGTTTAATCTGGCCATTAATTAGGATATATCAAATGACTTGCACGTACATATGTAGTCGGATGTAGTGAAAGTTTTTAGATTAAAAAGAAAAAATATTCTATTTATAACGGGCTAATGTTCAGCCGGTAATGTAGACTCGACGTTTTGTTCGAGGCGGGAAATTCAAAAACATGATTTTAGAATGTACTGTATTTAATTACTCATCGATTATTTCGTTTAATTTACGTATTAGTTCGATGGTAACTCGAACGACATTTATGTCAGCGTGAGTAAAAAATATTTTGCGAGAAGTTACAAGCAGGAAGCTTGAAAGTCTGAGCTACAATCTGGTTAGAAAAGAGACTGATTTAAACAGTAGATGCTGAGAAGCCGCCGCTCTTTAAATCAATGTTTCAACACTAGTAATAAAACACTAAAATTTTACTTGATAATGCTGATTAGTATAAATAAATTAATGTAACAGTTATTGTCAGTGCAGCAACAACATGTTTATGGTACAATAATAATTACATTGGTGAAAAATAATTAGTAGAAACATGTGAATGATTCAGTCAAATTAACTCTCTGATTGGCCAAACTGTAGCTACACTATTCAAAATTATATAATCTACATAAATTTTGTTCAAAAGGCTGCTGGATATTTTAACACGCAATGGTACAATTTTGTAAAAGAAATTGTATTTCAGAGGGTTACAGCGAATTATAATACTAAAAAATAATTGAATTAAAATATGTATTTGTTTTTTTTTTTTGGTTCAGAAATTGTGTGATTTTTTGAAATTTAACTTTTCTCGAATTTTATTTCCCCCGATCAGGTCTACGAAAACTAGTGAACCATTGTGTACCAGCCCCTAGTCGAGAACTTGCCAAACAGTATCTTGAGGGTGCTTTTAGTCGAACAAGAACGAGAAAAATGAGAAAAATTGTATCGAGAGCCATTTTGAAAAGCAGTTTTATTTTTTCCTCGTTTTTGAAATAATTTTCTAGTTTTTACGTTTATTTATATTGCAATCACGTCAGCGCTTTTCTTTCTTTCGTCGTTTTCATTCCGTCGAACATGTGAAATTCAGGGATTTATCGAGGCCATCTATACAGACTCCTTCAAATTCCGTACAATACATATTTATATATTTCTCCTCGCTCAATTGTTGTCCATCGAGCCAAACTCGACGAGAATCGATTTCTCAATACGGTACACGTTTTTATCAACATCGTTCCACGATCATCTCCCGATTATCGATTTCGAAATTGTTAACGAAACTCATTTGACACTTCTCGAAACAATATTTACAGTAAATGATCGATTATTGTCCGAAGGCACTTAGGCACTGGAAGCACCCACTAGTGGTGATAACTTCTGAACACTCATCGATGATTTACTGTACAGGTCGTTCGAATCTCGAGAACGTATCGGTTAACAAAAATTGATAGATCGCGGATTTTCAGGCCGCAATTAAATCCGCAACAGGAACACGAATCGACGAGAAAACGTTGTTTGACAGAGAGAAAGATGATAAGAGAAAGAAAAATGTTTTTTACGATCACGAGGGAACGTGACGTACGAAGCGAGGTAGCGTGTGTAAGAGAGAAAGAGAGTGCATGAGAGCAAGTTTCAGCGAAGGGACAAAGAATGAAAAACTATCGTGTCGTCAGAAAATTTCTGTCAAGCATTCAAAGAGGATAAAGGAACAAAAGAATTAGAATAATACAGAGAGTGAGTGAGAGTGAAAGAGAGAGAGAGAGAGAGAGAGAGAGAGAGAGAGAGAGAACATTAATCGAAAACTCTGACGATATAGCTAAAATTTTAATTCGCGCGATTTGAATTTGCCGCCATGATTTCTGGAGTGGGCATAGGTGGCCGCGAGTGGTGGGGGCGAATAGACGTATGAGTGGGACAAGTACCGGGAGTTACTAAACACTAGTGTTATTATCGTAATTGTAACGATTAATGGTAACGATCATAATCTTATCGATAAACGCTAAATGATAATAAGAGACGTGAATGGTATAACGAAAAACAAAAGTAAAAAGAAAAAAAAAACTATGGAAAAGATTTCGCAGTCTTTGTGATCGAACGATATAAAAGAAATAACGCGCCCACAAGATCGAATCGTTTCGTAAAAATCATTCATAGAGACTGGACGAATCGACGCCGTTTCTTTCTTACTTTTACCTTTTCATTCTTTTATCGTGAAGGAACAAAGACAGAGAGAAAGTGAGAGAAAGTGTGAGAGAGTGGGAGTGTGTGAGAAGGAGCGAATGAGTGAAATAGAGGTGGGGGATTTCCCGAGGATGAGAAGGGGAATGTCGCGAGAGGAGAATGTTCTCT